CCTGCCCTGCCCTTTCCACTCTGCCCCGCCCCTTCCGCCCCTTCCGCCCTGCTCTGCACCTTCTGCCCTGCCCTGCCCTTCCCCTCCTACCCCACCCTGCCCCTTCCACCCTGCCCCACCCCTTCCACCCTGCCCCGCCCTGCCCCTTCTGCCCTGCCCTTCCTCTCCTACCTGTCCCTCCCACCCTGCCCTGCCCTTTCCACTCTGCCCCGCCCCTTCCCCCCTGCCCTGCCCTTCCTCTCCTACCCTACCCTGCCCCACCCCTCCCAGGAGTTTCCTACACGGCCTGTTTTGGGTGTGAGGTAAGTGTGGACGTTCAGGTATGGCGAAAAACGGGCCTCCCCAAAGGCCAGAAACAGGCCCATTTTTGCCCTCCCAGAGGTTCGAAGGAAGCCTGCGGAGCCCGGGGAAGGCAAAAATGTCGTGTCCCCGCCCCCCCCACCGTGGTGCAAGAGGCTGACTAGGCCACACCCACCATGGCCACACCCACCCAGCAACCGGGCAGAGAACCCACTGCTGAAATTTTTGAAGGCCGCCCCTGAATATTTGCCTTCCTTTTTCAAATTTATGTATTCATCTTACCAGAATATTTAGAATTCACAACAAATTAACCAAACCTCTCTTCAGAGAAGTGCTAGAGGTAGTCCTTGACTTAGGACCACAAAGGAGCCCAAAATGCCTGTTGTTAAGTGAGGCAGTTGTTAAGCGAGTTCTGCCCCCATTTTAACAACCTTTCTTGCCACCGTTGTTAAGTTGAATCACTGCAGTTGTTAAGTTAGTAAGATGGTTGTTAAGCGATTCTGACTTTGCTTGTCAAAACATCGCAAAAGGGGATCATGTGACCCCAGGAAACATGGCCAATGTCATAAATACGAGTCAATAGCCGAGCCTCCAAATTTTGATCACAGTTCACTTAGAGACAGTTTGAAGTTATAACGACACTGAAAAAAGTGACTTGTGACCATTTTTCACTTTTACTATCGTCGCAGCGTTCCCATGGTCACGTGTTTAAAATTCAGTTGCTTGGCAATCGACTCATATTTATGACAGTTTCGGTATCCCAGGACCACATGATCCCCTTTTGTGACCTTCTGACAAGCAAAGTCAACCGGGAAGCCAGATTCACTTAACAACCAGGTTACTAACTTAACACCTGCATCGATTCACTTAACAACCATGGCAAGAAAGTGGTAAAAGGGGCCAAAATGTACTTAACTATCTCACATAACAACAGAAATTTTTTTGGGGGGGTCAATTGTGATCGTAAGTCAAGGACTACCTGCACTTGATTTAATTTTATTGGGGTTTTATTTATTCGTATTTCAGATTATATCCAATTATTTTGGCTTATGATTGCAACAATGCAATTCTTTCTTTCTTTCTTTCTTTCTTTCTTTCTTTCTTTCTTTCTTTC